AGATTATGAATGGCAGAATCAATTAGAAAATTATAATTACGAAATAAAGGGAAAAAAAAAAAGAAGAAACAGGGCTGCTGTGAATCTATACAATGCCTCTCTGACAGCAGAGGGCTCCCCTGCCTGGGGCAGGTGCACCCAGCTCTGGGCACAGGACTTGATGAGCAGGGCACGGGCAGCTTTCCAATTCCACTTGCCTTTCCAGGGGCCACGACCGCATAGGGCGGGCCGGAATGATATGACTTCCGTAGAGGCTGGTTGGGGGTTTAAATAGTGACGGTCCCAAAATGCAGGTGATTTTACCTTTTAAAAGGACCTGAGGCACTTAAAAAATTAGCTGGGAGAGGGGCTTCCTTAGCTGACAGCTGCCTTTTCCTTCTACGTAAAGCCAGCTTGGCAAAGGTCCCTGGTGAGGCCCCCAGGCCTTGCTAGATGGGATGATGGATCTTTAATGGTTTTTGTCATTGACAGGCGGTCTCCAAGCTCTTTTGGCCATTTGAAAATATTTGTGCACACCCTCTCCCATATAGGTATATTTATTTATTTATGACTTATATACGTGTGCTACTGTATCGCTAGATCACGGATATCATAAAACGTACACAGGGAAGAAACTGAATGATGATGAGATAAAAACAAATACAAGTTTTCAAATGTGCTTTCAGCTCTGGAGACCACTGGCCCAAATTCTCAGCAGGTAGCACCTGTATTAATGTTACATATTTCATCCCATTGCTCCCACAAATTTACTGGAACTCTTGAAGTCACGTGGCTGAATTGGTGATTTGGAATCTCCAGTTACTACAGAAAGAATTGTGCCTTCCCCAGCATCTATGTCTCCTCCATTATTCCTTTTTCACCCTTTGTTTTCTTACTTTCTCTGTGTTTCTTCACTCTGGTTAATCCCCGCTGCCCGTGGCCGTGATGCGCTATTCAGAGTGAAAGGGATGGATGGGGTGGGGGTGGGTGGTGGTCAGTGGCTCTCAGTCCTGCCACCCAGGCCCCGCACCACCCACCCCCAGCTTCCTGAGGACCAGACGGACAAGGACAAGGATGACACCTGGAGCTTTTCCTTGGAGACCTGCTTACAAAAGATTAGGGTGCCGGGAGACTGATGGGGAACATTACTAAGTAAAGCAATAAAGTATTTGATTTTCCGGAGTTTGCTTTTTTTTTCGATTACAGAATAACACAGAAACACTTCTGGAACACCTAGTGTACACTGATGAATGCCTACAGTTCTGCAGGCTGGTGTTCCGGGTTCTCCTGAGGGTTCCTCACACTGACTCTTTGGATGTTAATACAGACTTGAGGATGGAAGTAGCCAGCTTCACGGTTCCAAAGGGAACATTTGTTTGAAGGTGCAAAGGAGAGCCTGTTTGTTGGGGGTCCACGTTGTGAGACCTTGCTGGGGCTGGGAGCGAGAGCACAGGCTGAGCGGAAGTCCCACGATTGAATCCCAAACCCTTCCTGGACAGGTGATGCTTCTCATACTACGCCTTCCGCCAGTATCGCGAGATAACAGAGCAGCCAGAGTGTCAATTCCTCTTCCCAATCCAGAGGGGACCTGGCTTGCCTAAGCCACCACTGCCCTCTCCTTTGCCACCCTCCATGTAAGAAGAACACATCTTGATTGTGGTGATGGTTTTCATGGGGTAG